TTTGCTGATAATATCTTTTTCCTTTGGATTTCTCAGCTGCTATGCTAATGCTGTGCTTCAATGTTTAGCATTTACTCGGCCCCTTGTTTCTTATCTTCTTCAAGGGCTCCATTCAAGAACATGCAAGTTTATCTTCCTGACTTCTATATATACGATATATTTGCAACCAGTTCAATTATTAGAACCATGTGTTTGATGGCCTTTTCATTGACACATTCATCCCGTATGCCAGGTCGAAAGGACTGGTGTTTTATCTGTGAGTTTGAAGTTTTGCTTTTGAAGGCAAGAGAAGGGAAGTCTTTACTGTCCCCCATCAGGATACTATCTAAAATACATAAAATTGGAATTCATCTTGGTCAAGGGAGGGAAGAAGATGCTCATGAATTTTTGAGGTGAGCCAGTTAAAAACTCAACTGGAGAAATATTTCATATAAGATCTGTTTTCCCTTTTACAAATAGGTACCGTGCAACGAGTTACTTCAATGGTGAGTCAGTTATAAGATCTACGTATCCTTTTGCAAATATGTACCCTGTGATCAGTTACCAAGATGGCAGGTATGCTGTTGATACCATGCAATCTGTTTGCCTCAAGGAAGCTGGGGCTGTTGGTCCTTTGGCTGAAGAAACAACTCTAGTAGGCATGACATTTGGAGGCTATCTCCGATCTAAGGTAGTTTCTGTTTTTGTTGTTTTGTCAAGATTTACTTTTTTTTTTTTTTGTGTAGAATTGGTTGTCCTTGTACAAAAGCACAACCCATTCTATTGTTGGTAATAAAAATCATGGTAAGTTTTTGTGATGTCATGATTGGGATTCTCAGATAAAGTGCATGAAGTGCCTTGGAAATCTGAGCAAATTGAGCGGATGATGGATCTTACAGTTGAAATCGACGGGCAAATTGGAACTCTTGAAGAGGCTCTTGCTCAATTTACAGCTACTGAAACTTTGGACGGGAATAATAGGTACCATTGTAGCAGGTTGGTTCACTAGCTCCAGTATAAATGTTTTTCCTTTTTTATGTTGAAGGATAAAACTCTTACATTACAGAGAGACGGGCCTTAATAGTTGTTACATTGTTTGAAAAAGGAATAGGATTCTGATGTGACTTGTAAGGGATTTTGTGGTCTGATTATAGCTGAGGAACCATGTAATATAGTGGAGTTTCTAGTCCCAGAGTGCTCACCTACCTCAATGCTAGTTCAGAAATCAATTTTTTCCCTGGTTTTGGTTGGGTAATTTAACCTATCTTCTTACGTGGCCTGGAAAATTTTACATTCATTATGTTACCCATGTATAAAACTATTTTTTCCAGGTGGGTCTTAAGTCTTCCTTTTCGATTGTTCTAATTCTTTGATGTATGTTGTTTCCCAACTTTTGTGAAGGTGTAAATCTTATGAGAAAGCCAGAAAGAAATTAACAGTTTTGGAGGCACCAAATATTCTTACAATTGTATTGAAGCGATTTCAGGTAATTAGTTCTTTTCTATCAATTTTGAATTGTTCTTTTCATCTATTGGTTTAATATTATTGATGTTTTTTCTATTACTGTCGATGACTGCAGTCTCGTAACTTTGAGAAGCTGAATAAGTCAATACGGTTCCCAAAGGTTCTCAACATGTCCCCGTATATGGATGAAACAAGTGATAAATCCCCTTTGTACAGTCTTTATGCTGTGGTTGTTCACTTGGACATTATGAATGCTGCGTATTCGGGCCATTATGTATGTTATGTAAAGAACAATCAGGAGGAGTGGTTCAAGATTGATGACAGCTCAGTACGTTTTCCTATCATTTCTTATATTTCCATCTCAGATGGGGCTTGATGTTATTTGGTTATTTTCTGAGTAGAACATTCACACCGCCTGAATCAATGGTTGGAAGAGGCATTTTTTATTGTTATGCCTTTTGACGAAATTGATTATTATATAACATTGTCTGCTATGTTGAATATCTCCATTCTTTTGTCGATGAGAGGCATGAAACCTGCCAAAGAATTTCGCATGTATGCATTCTAGACCTGATTCTATGAAAAGAAATGTTTGAAGAATGTCTATTATTGGCTTGAGATTTTTTACTTTTGATTTATAATTTTCGTTAATAATTTCAAGAACTTATCGGTGCCATATGCTCTTGTAGGTTGAACCTGTGGAATTAAAGAGGGTCTTATCTCAAGGAGCATACATGCTACTTTATGCAAGGTAACATGCCTGTGGACTAAGCTTACGAGTCATTTTGTAATTTTGTTTTGGCAAACCACCTAAAAATTTGATATTTCTAGGCACACCCCACGTCCCCCGGCCTTGCTAGGAAGTACTGCCATTTCTAATGGTGGGAAATCCAAGAGACGGAACTTGGAAGCTGTTCCTGCAAGCCAAACCAAATCCAAGTTGAGATGTAACTCCTGCGGTTCCAAGGCCTTACCACCAGCAATCAATCGCAAAATCCAGATCCAGGTGATTGGAGATTCCATGCAACGCATAGAATTCCTGCCATAGATTCATCAAGTGAGAGTTCATCCATATTTAGCTCGTCGGATGCAAGTTCTTGTAGCACAGTGAGCACCAAGGAGTCTTCCAGCAACGAAGATTTCTCGGATTACATATTTGGCGAAATGGGACCCAACTGGTACAGTCAATACAGTAGGCATTCGTCCGCTGGGATCACATCTTCATTGTTTCCCAACTTGGATGTAGGTATAAAAGGCCGTAACTTGGAAGGGGAAGGGAATGCCGCAATTTTGTGTAGCGACAGAAGTAGACATCGTAGAAGGTCAACCTCGGATTGATTGGATTCGTAGTAGTAGTAGTAGTAGTAGGTGTATAAGTAGGGAAATCGAGCAGCAGCAATTTGTATGGTCGAATTCCAACCTTCGGAATGTAAGCTATATATTAAGAGCAGATGGAGAAAAGAAATGAGCTCGAACATTTTATCGAGGTTTGAGCTGAAGTGTAAGTAGGAGAATAGGATTAAGGTAATAAGGTCTCATTAAGGTTAATATCCATACTGGCTTATTGAAAAGAAATCAATCATTATTCTTTCACATTTCGGGTGCGTTTTCTTCCCTTCAATCTTATCGTTTGCCAGCATTTCCTTTCGGGTAGCCATTTTTGCACTTCAAACTGAACTCTTGCCACTCACACGAGGAGCGTCAAGTGTACTGTGAAAAATTTACAACTGAAAATGATAATACAAATTTACAACTAAAAATTATATTACTTAGCCTCTTACATATGAGTTATTATTTTTTTAATGAAATATGCGATAACTTTATTAATAATACCTCAACAGGGTTGTAAATCCTGGTTGAACACCACCCTTATAACAGCTGAGGGTTCCACAAACCAGATAACAAAGTCATGGCAAGACAAACTTAACTTGGCAAGGCGATGTGCCACGTCATAATGGGTCATTTACATTATGTGACATCATGTTTATATTGTACAATCATTTATCTGAATCATTCATGCTCTATATTGACATCAATGTGTCAAACAAATCGATGGTCATGTTAAAAAATAATGTGCTCATGATTAATTTTTTTTATTCATAATGATGGATAAACGGTCACTAAATTAAATGAATTTTTTTATAAATAGTTTTTAGACAATTGTAAAGAGAATGAATGATTCGAATTATGACGTTTGTATGATAAAGAGACGAATTATGACGTTTGTATGATAAAGAGAATGAATGATTCGAGTTTGACTGAAGGGGAAGGGAATGCCGCAATTTCGTGCCGCAAAATGATGTCAAGATTTCAAGCAAGTTACAGAGATGCCACATCTTCTTTTGGGCGTAGAAGATTTGAACTCTCAGTAAAGGGAAGCAAAAGTTAGGCGCCAAGTGAAACGACACCGTGAGTTAAAATTTCCCACCACAACTAAAATGTCCAATACCAATACTAGTAGCAGCAATAACGGCGCGTAATTTCAATCCAAATTTCCAGAAAATCTACCAGGAGGTAGCACCGATCAAGCTCCACTTAGGCATTCGAATCTGGGCTTTGGTCACCACCGCCGTCACAACCAGCAGCAATAGCAACAGGAGTGGTGGAGGCGGTGCGTATACGGGCATCAAGGATATAGTGAGGTTCGAAAAAGAGATCAAGAAGAGCAAATACATCGCCATCGCCGGTCCAAACTGGGAAATGTGATGAAGGACTAGGCGAACCGAACTACACATCAATGTTTGGTTTGCATACCCTGTTTTTTTTTGACAGCTTCGTCCTCGTCTTGCGTAGCACAGTTAGAGAGAACCAAATTCAGAGGGTTTGGTGTTTGGTGTTCAAACTACAATTATAGCCTACTTTCTTCTTGCCCATGATAGGTCATCTATCCAAAACGGTAATATTACTAAGATCATCAATGTGAAAATCAATACTCCAATGATAAAATATATAAATTAAAAAATGAGTTATGTATTGACCGACAACGAGTTCATTTTTGTTCACCCCTTAACATAAATGGCATATTAAAAAAAAAAAAAAAAAAAAAAAACCCACCAAATCTATGTAAATCATCATAAACACAAAATAAGATTACCGAGCTCTTTTTCTTCATTGTGTCTTTGCCCAGTACGTTTCATCAAGATTCCCAATATTAAACCACCAAATCATTTCAGTACTCAAAAGAGAACATTGGATTGAGAGTCTCAACTGTTGTTTATCCGCGACCCGTGACTCACGTTTTGGCAATTAGGTTTCTGCCAAACAAGACCTCAATGCATAGCATGGTTTCATAGCCGGAGAAGGATTGTCTGCCCTCCCACTTCTGGTGTTCTTTTATTTGTGTGATCATGGTTAAACCATGTGAATATTTTATATTACTATTCATTTTTGTCTTATTATCTCTATAAAAAAAATATATATATATATATATAAATATTGACGTGGCTTAACCGTAACCACACAAAATAGAAAGACACTAGAATTGGGAGGACACTGAAAGTGGAAGGGTAGACAATCTTATCCTTCGTAGCCTCCTGCCAAATAGTGCCTCTTCCTCTTTAATTATGCGTACAGCTCACTTGACGCACAAAGTCAAAACACCCAATGCATCTCCTACATTGCTTTTCAACAATAGAAAAATACCTAATATCTACCAAAATCTAGAGCCAAAAAAAGAAAGAAAAAAGTATACTCTCAGATGGGTTCTTCTACTATGTTCTTGCTCTTTCTTCTCACAATTGCATTTCCTCACCAAAACCCTAATTTTCTCGTCCATGCTGACTCAACCCTGATCCAGAACACATGCAAAAACACCAAGTACTATGGCCTCTGCGTCTCATCCCTCAAATCTGTTCCCACAAGCAAAAATGCAGACACAAAGGTGTTGGCAGTTATTATGGTTGGGATTGGAATGGCAAATGCAACCGCCACCTCATCCTACTTGTCCTCTCAACTCGTGAGCTCAAGCAAAACCGACACAAATTTGAAGAAGGTCCTCAAGGAGTGTGCCGTCAAGTACGGCTACGCCGGCGATGCCCTTCAAGCTTCAGTGCAGGATTTGGGCTCGGAGTCTTATGACTATGCTTACATGCACATCACTGCAGCCGCAGACTACCCGAATGCCTGCCACAATGCTTTCAAAAGGTACCCAGGTTTGGCTTATCCTCCAGAGCTTGCAACAAGAGAGGAGGGTTTGAAGCATATTTGTGACGTGGCTCTGGGAATTATTGATAATTTTGGTGGGTAACTGTTTATTTCCTACTAGGGTGCTCAATAGTGCAAGTTTAATAGAAAAAAAAAAAATTCTTGATTTTTCTGAGTCATTGTTTGGTCTAAATGCTGTTGCAATGCTTGTCCTAAACATATATGCAATTTAATTATTCATTATATATTAATATTTCTCCATAATATGATGCCCACTTAGGTTAAAGGGGTCATTTCCACCGAGGCACATAATTCAGGCTTTTAAAATTTGATCGATTACAAATAATAATTTATTTTAAAATTTATAATAATTTTAATCGTTGAATTAAATTTCAAATGTTCGAATTGTGTACCTTCATGGACTTGGTGGAAATGATTCGGACATCCTTTCCCCCACTGAGGCAGAATCTACTATTATTTTTTGATTAATTGTCCAATTTACAGAAAGTGTTTTGTCTCGTTTGTTTTCTTTGACCATACTGCAGATTTCTTTATCTTTGTGGAGAAGACAGATGTCACAATGAAAGATGACTGATAAGGGTCAAGATTCTCTCCTGACCTAAGGATGAGGATCCTCTTAAGCAAGCTCATTAAGCCGTTCAAATTTTATCCAAGGGTTATAAGCAGGAGGCCCTTCTAAAAGTTATAATAATTGTAACCGTTGGATAAAATTTGAACGGCCCGATGGGCTTGCTCAGAAGGATCCTCATCTTAGTTCAGGAGAGGATATTGATCCATAAACACGTCCCTTATAAGTGATAACTTTGTTACAGAATTTTCAGAAAGGATAATGCTTGTTTTTTTATGATGGAATTTACTTGTTCTCTATTTATAATTAATGTATTTTTATTATAAACATTATAATTGAAGTGATTCATTCTCTTTATCATTATCTAAAAAATTACATCTATGAAAAATCATTTAGTCATTCATATGTGTCAAACCATTCAATGGTTTTGTTAACAAGTAGCATCTTTGTGATGTATATGAATGGCTAAAAGATTTCCAAATTAAGTATTTTTTCTTCATATGATCTTTAAGTCATAATAAGAGATCGCATGGTTTCGATTATGAAATTTGTTTAGTGAAGATACATTAATCATAAGTGGAGGACAATAAATTACCAATCCTTTCTTTATTATGTATGGTTTAAATTATGAAAGAGTGCAACATGAATTTTTGGAGAGCAAATAGACCAAGAACATAAAACCAAAAGAAAAAGGCTTGTTTACTAATCTGCAATGCGAGGAATTGAAACGAGGAAGAGTTTGGAACAAGGTGGAATCAGAATCAGATTCTTGTTGAAACTGTTTATTAAATTTTTCAGAAATAAGAGTAAGAATAGTACTGAGCCGTGTAAACTGTTTACAAATGTACATGAATCTGAATGAAAATGCATGTGATTACTAAAATACCCATATTCTCGTAATCTATTTTTTATGCTGTTGAACAACAAAAAAATATAACATACAAAAAAAAAAAAAAGAGTCCATACAAATTGGATCAAGTTACAAGGCAAAACAAAAATGTAATCCAGCCCAAAATGTGAGGATGGGCTTTACATACAAATCAACATCCATAAATAAAAAAATAAAATAAACAAGATATGAATTCCTTCCTACAAAAGGGGGAGGTAACGTGCAAAACAGGGGCTCCCCATTTTCTGCAACAAAAGGATGTGGAAGACTGGGACAATTGGTGAGAGAGGTTAAGAGAAAGTGGCGGAAGACATGGCCTCTATCTCCCCCACGTAAAAGCTCCAGAGCGCTCCTAAGATGTCTATAAATAGGCATCAGTTGCAGTAAGAAAGGTAGACACAGAAAAAGAAACAGAGACTCGGTAGAAATTGAGAGACAAGAAAGAAAGGAGCAGTCAGTGTCACGGTAAGCAAAACCGAAGAAGAAGATCCATGGTCGCGCGTCCATGCCAAGAAAGAAAGGAAGCAATCGGTGTCACGGCAAGCAATGGATTTGGATAAAGAAAGAGCAAGTTTCGCTCGACTCCACATATTAACGGCAACCTGTTCTTCATCCAATCACCAACGGTGCAGAAGCTTGTTGGCAAAAGTAGAACAACATGCTCTAAGAAGATGGCACGTTACTGGTGTTGTATACTTTAAAGATTACTCCAGAAGAGGAGGAAGAAGAGAAGTCTTCTAGATAACATGAATGCCATTCACGTGGTTATCAAGTTGGGTAAAGTCAAGAGACTTGAAAACAAGAAAGGATCATCCTAATTGCCATCTGTCAAAAAAATCAAGTTAAGGAAGCAATGTCCAACAAATGCTTAGGGGAGACCAGATCAAAATCGAAAAAGGATAAACAAATGCTGCAAAACAGTTTGTCCAACAACCATGTCAAAAATCCAACCAAACTGCTACTGAAAGCTACTCATGACAAATGAAAAGTTAAATAAATTCAGGCTACGAAAGCTACCAACATCAAATGGGGTTTATCATCTACCAGTATTAAAAAAAAAAAAAAAAAAAGAAGGGATTTTTACAACCCAATGAGACTCATTACCTAAGGGTCACAACAACGACCAAATCGAAGAGATGTCGTTGCCGGTGACGCCTGCACGAAAGAATTAAACCAATAAATTAGTTGCAGTTTAGAGCTTCACTCCAAATCAAATCCAGAACACAAAGAAAATGAAAATAGGGTCACCTGCCTGTTACCTTCTTTTCCTTTTCGTTCTGAATTTTCGATCCACAAAAGAATCACAAGCAAGTTGGTGAGAGTAAGAGAACGATGCGGCAAAAAAATAAAAGAGCTTGTGACCTGCAGAAAAAAGGCCTTTGCGACTTGAGAGGGAAATGATGGTAAATTGAAGTAATTTGAAAAGGAGTCTGAGCTCCAACAAACCTTACCCATCCTCACTTGGAAATCAACGGTTGCCCAATCCAAATAGAAATTTGAAATACAACGAAATCCACGGGAGCCCAAGTATATCGGAATTGCTTTTTTCTTATGGGGAAGGACACGTATTGGAGCTAAAAACAAGGGGATCTCTGAAGCATTTCACGGGGGGATGCTAAGTGAACTCTGCGATTCTAAGTCCCACTTTAAGCCTTGGGCTAATAAAAGGAAGTCTGCATCCCACGTGGGATTCTAAGTTAAGCCTTGGGCTAATAAAAGGAAAAGACAAATCAATGTCCTATTTCGCAAAGCCTTTAGGTGATATTACCGAAGGTCATATATGGGTTTTAAATAAATCCAATTGGCTTCTTATTTTTCCAAGTTTGAACACAAGTCTACAAATCCAAATCAAATACTTTACAAACTACGCTGGTTTGATTTCGTTAAGGTACCGTTTGGTACGTGGGACGGGACGGAATAGAGTGGGACAAGGTGTTCCGTCTCACGTTTGGTGTGCCTAAAACGGGTGGAACGAGCTGTTCCACGGGACGAGTTTTGGGTGAATTTTCATTCCACCTCACCCCCTGGAACGACTCGTTCCACATCCGTGGAACACAAAATTATAACCTCTCCGTCTCCTTCTTCTTCCTCCTTGTTTCCATCCGAGGGCATCTTTGCTCCCGCTCCGTTCCGTTCCGTTCCGTCCCGTCCCATCCCATTCCGTTCCGTCCCGTCCCGTTTGCATACCCAACGATACCTAAGGATACGTAAGCAGTCTGAACCGTGAAGCTGAGATGAATCCCTGGTTTATATAAACTAAATTCACTTTTGCTACTTTGACCAAGTAATTACAAATTCTACAAAGAGTAAAAGAGAAGTCTACAAGCACAGTTCCTAGATTTCCAATTAATGTATGCTGCTCACGCAATGAAGCCGAAGAAAAGTCTCAAATGGCATAAAGCCGTATCAAATATCATATGGCACAAAGTCAACTCAAGTTTCAAAGGGCATGAAGGCATATCAAACCCCACATGGCACAAAGCCGAAGAAAAATCTCAAATGGCACGAAGCTGCATTAAATATCAAATGGCACAAAGCCGCAACAGGTCTCAAATGGCACGAAGCTGCATTTTGCTCCAATGGCTTAAAGTCCTTGCCTGCACGAGCTAAATTGCACAAGGCACCAAATGCTCTAATAGCTCAAAGTCCTCGCCTGCACGAGCTAAAACTGCACAAGGCATCAAAAGCTCCAATGGCTCAAAGTCCTCGCCTACACGAGCTGAAACTGCACAAAGCATCAAATGCTCATTGCCTGGACGAGCTGAAACTGCACAAGGAATAAAACCCCAACAAATACATGAAGGAACTACGAGTGACTTGATCCCTCAACGAGGGTATGTAGGCAATCTAGGGCTTGACCTAGGTGTAGTCGCAAAATCAAATAAACCCCCAAATTCCCAAGTTACGATTTATTCATATTGGAATCTGATAGGAGCATATTTATACGACTTAGTTAGCTTGTTTTCTTGCATTTAATTAGCTAAACTATGTTAATTATAGTGTTTAAAGTTATTTTCGTGCAATTTCAGGTTTTAGTGTCAAAGTATGCAAAAAGAAGCAATTTGGAGCATTCTAGAGCATTTTTGGGCCAAGATTGGATAGTGCAAGCATGGAGGCATGAGGATGGACGAATTTGAAGGCTTGAATTCAGTTAGGGAGCTGCAAGGGGGCCTAAAAAGCTTATTTCTAGAAGGCTTTATCTATTCACACATGGTGCCTAATTCCTACCTTGTCTCCTAGCCGCCCTACCTTGTCTCCTAGCCGTCCTACCTTCTCCTAGCCGCCCTACCTTGTCTCCTAGCCGTCCTACTTTGTCTCCTACCTTGTCTCCTACCTTTCCTAGCCCTATAAATAAGGCTTTGCAGCAAGGCACTAAGGGGGGATCACTCATTCACCCAATTTTCGTCCATTCATCTAGCCACACCATTCTACACATCCTAAAATCCCAGAAACACAATTCCAGCCACTTTTACCACCTTTGCCGCAACCTTACATCCAAGCAACCATTCATCCACCATAGCCACACCTTCCCACCACCATAACCACCTTGTGCCGCCACCATTGAAGGAGAGGAAGAGTAGTGCCGTGCAGTCCAAAGGAAGGAAGAAACCTTGCACATGCAATCTGCAACTATTGGAGTGTTTGGAGTTATTTCTTCTATTGTTTCTGTTTTCATGTTTAATTTAACTTGTTATTCAATTATGTTAAACATGTGGAACTAATTTCTTTTTAGTTAGAGGCGAATTTGAAGCCATGGACATATGTTGGTTATGATTTGATTTACTCCAGTTATGAATTCATGAACTTTAGATGTGGTTTACTTTTCTGTTTTGATTAAGAACTTGTTTATGTATGTGGGTTGAGGGTCGACACTTAATTTGCATGCCTAAACTTGATGCTAGGATATAAGGGAATTTCACCTAATCGTTATGAACTTATATTCATGAGTAGTAAAAATCGCTAGTCACGATTGTGTTTAGTAAACCCTAGGCTGGATTAACATGCGTATTCCATAGTTATGAATGCCTAGTCGATGTTTATGATTTCCGTTGAACTTAATGATCTTTGTTGAATGTCTCTATCATGCATATTCCATAGTTAGGGACTTTGATTAGGAATAATTTGGTTGTAATGCGTATTCCATTCAATCCAATGAATCTAGGGAAATCTGAAAGTTAATTTAAGCGGACCTAATTAACTTGGAGCATTGTCATTCATCGTTTGTTGAAGTCATAACTGGGAATCAAATTATATGCATATGGTCATGTGTGGATAAGGAACCCTCTAACTAGTTTCTCATCCTTCTATTTCATCAAATCGGTTTTAGAATCTGTTTTGTTTCCAAGTTTCTATTTTAATTTTAAATTCGTCAAAACCAATCCCCCATTTATTTTAAAGTGTTAGATTAGTTAGAAATACATTTAGTTTGTGTTTTTAAGAGTCTTGAGTCAAGTTACAACTTAATTTCGTCCAAATTTGTGTTTGTACTCAAAACTGCCCAGAAAGTGGTTTTTAGGCAGATTTGAGTGTGTTTGTGCTGTTTTGAGTCTTTTAGTTTGTTTGAGTGTTTTAAATTTTAGGTTTGCATTCATTAAGTCTAGTTTAGTGTTTTAAACTTTGTTTTTATGTTTCTAAGTCATTTTAGAGGTTTTAGCAAGCCCTCCTAATCCCCGGTCTAGAACGATCCCTACTTGCATCCTTACTACAATTTGACAACAAGAGGGTTTAATTTGTGTGTCAAGTAATTCTCACATCAGAATCAAAGGGTTTTTCCTTTTAACGAAGGATTGTAATTAACAGACACATAGTTTAGAATGGGTCAAACTCAAATTAATAAAACCCTCTTCGGAAAAATGAACGAGGGTGAAATTATGTCAAGTGAATTATTTGTTTACATTTTGTGTATAATTTTTTCTCAACATATGCTAATTCTTTTTTATTAATTTATTTGTTGGTAAAACATTTTTTTTATTTGTTATAACAAACGATATTCATCTACATGAGGGGGTAAGCTAAACCTTACAATGATAGCAATAATGTGGTTTAAATTCGTCTTTGGCGAGAATCAAACCTAAGACCTCTCACTTATAAGTAAAGAAGAATACCACTAGATCGTAATACTAAGTGACAACATTATTTTAACTTTGTGAGAGAAAACTTTTAATTTTTTTTTTTTTTTGATTTTTCTTCTAAGAGAACAAAATTTGGTGATGGGTGGAAAGGCGATCTTGGAATTTGATAAATAAGTGAGGGTATAATGGGGACGAAAAAACAATCCTGATTCCCCCTATAACTCAAAATACAATTATCCCCAAATTATAGGTAATCTAATTCTTTCAAATTTTGGAGTTGGATTTAAAAATTGCATGGATCTTACCATATTTTTGTTTCCCCTATAGTCTCACATTTCTCAAATACAACTTAAATAATTTATTCTTCTCCATAAGAAGTTATTTATACGAATACAATGAAGCAATAATAGGAAATAAATTAAATCAAACCTTTGTTCACAAAATAATGAAATTTAGACCAAATAAAATCTCTAAATTGCTTTCCCCTATATTTTCCAACCGTCTGCAGAATTTTCTGTGTAGTTAAAAGAGCTTTTGATTGTTAAAAAGTTTTTTTTTTTTTTTATTTTTAATTTTTTTTTAACACAAACTCATACATTTGCTGGCAACACTCTCTAATGCAAGTGGGTTCCAAATACAAGGATAAATTCTATCATTGAGAAAGTGTGTAAGCAAATGTATTAATTTTATATGCCCAAATAAAACTATTAATAATTAGTTGTAAGAAAGCTAACAAGTAAATGTCACTCCATTATGGATGTCGACTAATTGGCGTAGTGGATCGAAGATCAAATTAATGAGCAAATCTGGCAGCAAGAAGAATACCTTGCATATTTGGGCTCACCACTTTGTTATCAGGTATGGGCTTTTCCGGCCGAATTCTATCATTCACTATGTTTTATCAGTATTTTTAGTTTTTGAGACATTTTTTTGGGTATTTGGTATAACGTAATTCTTTTCCTATTTGAAATTCTAAGAAGTATAGGGCTAAGAAACACTATAAATCACCTTTAGAGTGTACAGTTTGTTATCTTTTGTACCTTTAATTTGTAAACTTTGACGTTTACTCATTCTCTGGTGGATTTCAAATTACATGCTTTTTGATTAAGGTTTTCGTTTAATATATTTACTTCGTCACGCTGTGTCAATTACTTTTACCAAAACACTGCTCCAACCTACCATTTTTTTTCGTTTTGCATTGGAATATGATTTTTACACTCTTTTATTTTTCCACGCACTTGTAGCATTTAAATTGAATTAATCAAAAGTAATTAATGGACCAAAATAAACAGGATGTGCATAAAGAGAATAGACAAAAATGATTTTTGTCTTTTCATTCAATTGACTTAATGACAGTTTCATGTTACAAATCCATTTTGTTCGATATAATCCCACTTTTCGTTTTTCCATATTTATTTTTTCTAACTTTTCTTTCTCTTTTTGTTTTTCATTTTCCAGCTACCTTTTCGGTTAATAGTTAATACCATAATCTAGTTACTGGCTTTATCATAAAGACTTCGAACAAAGATCATACATGGTAAGATTAATTCAATAAATGTTTTATTAAAGTATAATCAAGAAAATACAATCACAAACACAACAATAAACATATCCAGAACATATAAACCCAAAAACTAAAAAGAAAAAGAAAAAGAAAACGGGAATCATGAAAATTAAACATCCGCACAAGCTCTCCAGAACAATAACATAGAGTAATTAATAAGCCACCGTACAGCACACCCAAGAAATCCGATAGTAGTAGTGTAGTAAGCAAGGAGAACCATGGCGGTTATATATGTGATCATCTCCGGTGGTTTAGTTTGATGGGGGTGGGGAGAGGAATGGAATGCTTGGAATAGTTGATGGAATAGTTGGGATTGAAGGGATTGTTGTGGGAAGTGATGGCAGTGGGTTGGCTGGCAATGGAGGTAGTGTTGTGGGAAGAGTGGGCATTGCTGATTTTGGCAAAGATGGAATTTGAGAGCTTGGCATTGGAGGAAGAGCAGTTGGAAGAGTAGGCAATGGGTTAGAGGGCAGGGGTGGCAAGGTGGCCTTGGGCTGTGTTGGCAATGAAGGCAACGGAGGCAATGTCATCTTGGGAAGAGTTGGCACTGAAGGCAACGGTGGCAATGTGGTCTGCGGCAGAGATGGGATGGTAGGGACGGGTAGTGCTGGCGTGTCCAAAAGGTGGCGAGCTGCTTGGCTCATATGGACGCTTGAAGGTGATAGCACTGCCACCGAAAACAGCAGGAAGAAAATCTTGGGGAAAGCCATGATTGAACTTGTGACGAAAGTAAAGCTTTGATGAGGAGTTGCTAGATAATCTCTTAAAATGTTGTTTGTTGTTGTGAAGAGTAGAATGTGCCTTCGGGTATTTATAGGGAAAATGGGGGGAAGTCTCTTAGTGCTTAAGTTTGATGAGTTGTGGTTGGAGGAAGCGGGAAAAAGAAAAAGAAATAGTTGGTTCACCTCCCTAAAGACATTGGTTCTAAATTCAAAACCAATCCAACGCAAAAGAAGCTTCGACTCATGCACGCAAGCCAGTACTAAAATGGTCATTGGACTTGCATTAATTTAGTGGGTTGGTGACGAACCAAGTAGGTAGTGCTGTTATTTTCCTTGGTATTGGATTGACTATGAACCTGTGTTAACTTCTCTCATCTTTTTCATTTTTTTTGGCCTGTTTGTTTTTTTGAAGGGTTTAGGGGGAAGACTCTGAAAACTTAAGCCAACTCCATTTAGTGGGAAAAAGTTTGATTCTTGTTATTATTGGTTATTTTTGCGAGGGGTTCTCTTTATTTTGTTTTATCCTTTATCTTTTCAAATATTCATCTAATTACAAGATATGTATGGTAGTTGAAAAGCTGAAATTTATGGGCAAGTCAAGGACACACAATTGTAGGTGAACAATGGGGGAAGCGTACGTGCTTCAGTTGCTTCCCAAATAGCATATCAACCATATCCAACTTCAAGTTCAATCAAATGTTATAGCTCTATAGGAGAGGATTAATTGACTAATTAATTTATTACCAAATTTGCATTTGGCAAATATCGAACTTAAGACCTTACACTTACAAGTAAAGAGGAATACTACTAAACTGTAGTATTTAATGACTTATTATTTATAATTTAAATTATGAAAGAGTGCAACATGTATTTTGGAAAGCAAAGAGACAAAGAGCAGAAAACCAAAAGGTAAATTACACAAAACTACCTCAACTATTGATCGAACCACAATCTCATACCTCATATTTTAAAAATTACAATGTCATACCTCATCTTACAAATTTCTCTGTTAAATGTTGATGTAGCTTGATACAGATCCACTTCCTAGTCCAGTTGGATTAAAAATTAATTAAATATTCAAAAACTAAAACTAAAACTATTTAAATATTTTATTAAAGAAAAGGGACCCACCCCCTGCAATCCCATCCCCTCACCCTTCTTTCCCCATCTACCATCTCAGCCGCGGGTCTGTCGATTCACTTGTCGTTGCTCAAATCTTCTCAGTCCGTCCAACCCATCTTCGCTGTCCATTGCTCCCTACCCATCTTCTTCGGAGTTCTTCCTCCAGCTCTTGCTCCTCTTCTTCTTCCTCCTTGTCCCCCACCTTTTTTTTTTCCTTCGGTGGGTCATACTGCATAGAAGGTAGGAAGGCGTTAAAGCTTTACAAATCTTACCACCATTCTGTTGGGAATTGGGGACACTTGGGATTCCGTCGGAAATAGGGATAAATTGCTTTTGGTATTCTATTATGCCATCAAAAAGCTTAAAGCTTTACCACCCATTTCAATGTCCTCCGCCACTTGGATTTGTTTACAAATCACAAAATTGTTTCGAATCCCAAGTGTCACCCTTGCTCACTCATAAACCCTAATAAAATAACCAATTTTTTTTTTTTTTATCCCCAATCCCTAATGCTACACCCTCACCGTCGTCTCCAAAGATGAGATTGCTGGCGTCAAAATCCCGGGAATTCCTCGGTTTGATCTACCATGAACGGCGGCTAAACAGCGTGAACTCTAGGTGGGTCTTGTTCATGGCACCAAGAGCAGTGGAACGACGGTGGTGACAACGATGCTTGTTGTTGGGGTTCGTGGTCAACTCACCTGGGAAGCTCGCCTAAGAAACGGTGGTAGAGGAGACGGGTGGGGAAGAAGGGTGAGGGGATGGGTTTGTAGGGTGGGTCCCATATTTTTAAATAAAAACATTTAAATAATTTTAGTTTTAGTTTTTGAATATTTAATTAATTTTTAATTCAACAAGACTAGGAAATGGCCCAGCCTCAAGCCATGTCAGCATTTAACAGAGAAACTAACGAAAAACTGATGGAGGTTTGACATTGCAACAAATTTGTAAGATGAGGTATGACATTGTAATTTTTAAAACATGAGATATGAGATTGTGGTTCGACTAATAGTTGAGGTACTTTTGTGTAATTTACCCAAAACCAAAAGAACAAGGTTTTTTTTACTAATCCGTAATTAGAACAAGAGGAATTGAATTGAAGAAGAGTTTGGAATAGGCTAGAATCAGAATTAGATTCCTGTTGAAACTGTTTACTAAAATTTTTAGGAATTGAAGTAAGAATAGTATTGAACCGTGTAAGCTGTTTACTAATTTACATGAACCTGAATGAAAATCAATGTGATTACTGAAATGTTCTCCAAGCTCTAATTTTCGACTACGATGACGTACTTCTCGAGTCTGAGCACTTGCACCTCCAAGCTTACAACGAGGCCTTTACTTACTTCAATGTCTGTTGCCCTTTTCTTCTACCTCTCAGCTTCTCAATTGGGACCTCCACTTCTATGATCAGCTCCAAAACCAAATCGTTGGTGGAAAGCCCAAAATGTGATGGTCCTTACTCTTTCTCTCTCATTTTCTCCAAAGGTTGAAACTTTGGATTTTGTTTTCTTCCTTGACCTTTTTTTTTATAGGTAAATTACACTTTACCACCTCAGGTTTGAGGTCTATTGCAACATCATAAAACATCTTTAAAACATTTCACTTTCATACCTCAAGTACTATTTTATTTCAATATAATATATTTGTTACATTTTCCATCCATTAGTCCGTTAAGAGCTGATGTGGTTGCCACATTGCCAAGTGGCAAATTTTTTTTTTTATGCATTTAAAATATTATAATAATTTACCCTATTAAAAAAAAAAAAACCCAGAAATCCTTTCCCGACCCCTGCAACCCAAACCCTATCCCACCCACCCCCACCTCCCTCGCAACCCCCCTGGCCCGACTCTGCCTTGTCCCAAATCGCGATCCTTGATCCCCAGCCCTAGCAATCCGAACCTGCCCCAGTTTCCAGAACCCTTTCCCCCCACACCAAAAAACCACCGTCCGGGTCCCCGTCTCGATCCAAACCCTCGCCAGCCCAATCAAAAAAGCCCTAACCTATTTCCCTGGATCATATTCTTACCGAAGCCTCCTTAGACAACTTGGATCTCGGCTCGTTTCTGCTCAAGCTGGCCTGGGACACAATCGCCTCCGGTGAAGGTCCTAACAAGGCGTTAGAGTACGCAGTCCGAGCATCTAAGTATTTCAAGCGGTTTGCGGTGGACGACGAACCGAGCCTAGATGACACACCCCACCCCTGAATGTCCACTTGGACTCCAAATCGAACTGTGCTGGCCGACACTTGGAAGGTGACGAAGCCATAAAGTGTAATGTGGTGGAATATGTGAATAAATTTAAACCTAAAAGCGCCTAAATATAAGAGTGCGCTTATGAGCGGGAATGAACCCATTTCACATGTGATGACAGAGCATAAGTAGAGTATAGTAAAGTATAATGAGATTTATACCATCAAAGGTAGCCACCTACATCGAGATTTGCCAAGAATCATTGTCGATAAGAAAGCTTAGCTACTAAAACCTGGAGGGGCGAAACACAAAGGTGAGTGGGCTTGAAAATAAAGTTTTAATAAAAACCTTTGAAAACGTTATAACCCCTCGTCGTAAAACATGTATAGTTTCCAAGATATACATACTACATATAGTATGGAAATACTCACCGTAGCCTGCAAAATATCAAGATATCAATATGGCACAATAGTTCATAATAAAATTAGATGCTCATCGATCTATGCTAGCACACAAGTCGGAGTCGTCTACTGCAACCTGTACGACTGAACTGATGCTCATCAATCTATGCTAGCACACAAGTCGGAGTTGCATAATGCAACTTGTACGACCTGATTGGGTGTAATCATAATATACGCTCTAGTGCTACAATCACGTGAAGACTAGCGCTATTCGTGGTCACATACGAGTCGGAGTTGCCTATTGCAACCTGTACGACAAGATGTCGGAGTTGCCTATTGCAACTTGTACGACATGACTGACACCTACTTGAATCTAAGGCGAGCATGCGGTGCGGATATGAACATACACGTGAAAGACTGGCCTTGGCCCTGGGTGAGCACTAACACTGGGGTGTAGCAATGATGAGTAGACTACACAAATACAATCATGCCATAGTGGTTCAATAGTTCTAATCAACATAATATTATTCATAGCCGTAGGTATAATCATGGCATCAATAAACATACGCATACCTATGCATCCCATAGGATTTATGATCACTTCGTACTTTTTCGTTATTTTGCTAATTCTTATAAGCATTAGTCTAAACTAGGCATACATAGTAAATTCTCTTTCAATGTATAAATGGAAACTAACAAATATGTACATACTATATAAAAGAAAAGACCCATTCACCTGAAGTCCGCGCTACAACTTCCTAGCATGAATATTGAGGTGTCACAAACGATCGTTGCCTAGAACAAATATCAAATCACGTCTCAGAATTCTTATCAATAGAACATGTAACTTACATAAAACACATCCCCAAGGAGCTTCTAGAATGATTTATAAACCATTGACCAAAAGTCAACCGTCAGTTAAAGGTTGACGGTAGGGTCTACAACCTTATGTAATTCGATCCGGAAGATCTACACTTTGGATTTCAGATTCGTAACTTCCCAAGAGTTTCAATAAGCTTCTAGAAAACATCCTAAAGTTTTGGAATGATCCAACAGTTAGATCTCCGCCAATCGCAAATTCAAGTGGTGGTCAACGTTGGATTTTACAAGCTTTAGAAATTCAGTTAGGGAAGATCCGTACGTTGGATTCCCGAACTGTACGTTCCTAATGTCCACAAATATTACATACTATCACGTATGAGAGTTTGGTGCCGATCCAACGGTCGGATTGTCGATTCATATAATGACCAAGTGGCGGTCTCAATTAAAACTATA